AACAATGGCTCACCAAACCTTCAAAAACACCCGGTTTCTTCTTCAGAAATTCTCAGGACATGGGATGTCCCAATGAAAGAAGCAGTGAGGGAGGCAAAGGCAGAGGTAGAGGGGTGGGAGCACCCTCACAGAACAGGGAGGAGTCAGGGCCCCTGCAAGTGAGAGCCCAGAGCTGAGAGACACTCAGGCATCCTCATCTGTATCTGCGGGGACAGGGATCCTGATGCCATCAGGAGCCAGCTCTTGGCCACTCATCACCTTCACCCTGCGAAGGACAGCCGCAGGCCTAGGGAGGTGCACACCCCTTGGAAAGCTCGGCTCTCACTTCAGTTGAGAGGACAGACACATTGGGGCTGAAGGCACAAGTTGGGGTTTGGGGGGAGTCTGAGGGAGAGGGGAGACTGTTGAGGGGTGGGGCTTATAAGACTCACCTCTTCTCCCAGCTCTCAAACTGGAAAGTTCTCCAGCTCTGCCTCTCCCTGCAGAAGGCTAAGGCAAGGGTCTGAGTCCAAGCTTTCCCCGGCCTAGTGGGGTGGCCCACAGCTCTCTGGCTGTGCTAGGATGGAGCTCCAGCTGGGTAACTGCCACAGCCAGGGAGTGTGCGCGGCCTCCAACAGAGCTTCAGAGGTGAGTCATGTCTCAGTTCAGCAGGAAGGGGAGGGCGGGGTGGGCCAGCAGCCTGGAGGGGCCGGGGTGCCCTGAGCAAACAGTGTTGTGTTTGCTCTCACCTTCACTCAACACCCGAGGGAGGTAGCACTGGGTCACGTTGGGCAACAGCTCGTTGAGAAGGGAACATCACAGCGCTCCGGGCAGGAACGCAGGGAGAAGGAGGGTGGGCAGGAATCACTTGTCATTGATGACAGTCTGTCTTCAGAAGAATGCAACTTAAAAAGTGACTTGAGCGAAAATGCGAGTTATAGGGGGAAAAGTATGGAAGTGGGCTGTCCAGGGAGAAAGGTGGTGGATAACAGGGAAAGGGCGCAGAGTCACTTTCTGGGTGCCTGGAGAGAGGTGGGGGGTACAATGGAGTAGTTGGTACCAAAAGAGGGTCTGAGGTGACTACAGAGCAGAGGAACAGAGCAGAGGAGTAAGAAGATCATTGTTAGGAGTTTTTGGTGGATATTGATGTGAAACCTTTCCACTCACAGGGGCTTTGTCATTGAGATTGACTGTGCAATAATACTTCAAAGGAGCTGAGCTCCCTGCTGGTCAGAGAACCCAGATGAATTCAGGGGCACTGGGTAAAGTCAGTGCAAGGGGTTTTGTATACAGGTAGGCCAGGTTTGATGCTGGCACCACAAGATCCTCCGAGCACCCCCAGGAGTGACCTCAGACCACCATCAGGTGTGGTCCATAAAAAAAGAAAAAGGGAGAAAAAAGCTAAATATAGTGAGAGTGTGTGAGCGTAATTAGGTACTAGTTAAAGGGCCTGGGAAGGTGGGGAGATGAGCATGATGTCAGGTAGATGAGGAAGGAGGCAAGAACCACAGAAGTCCCCACAGACAGGAGGCGCCTGAGACAAACCTTGATGCAAGACCATCATTTCTACTACTCCTGGGGAGAAAGGATTTCCAGTGTGTGAAGTCCAGAAGCAGAAAGGTCAAAACTGTTGGCTGTGTTTGGGACTGGAGTGATAGCATGGCAGGTAAGATGCTTGACTGGCATGTGACTTACCTGGGTTTGATTCTCAGGATCCTGTATGGAGCACCACCAGGAGTAATTTTCAAGTGCAGAGCCAGGTGTAAGTCCTGTGTGTTCTGTGTGTTAGAGGTCAGGAGTTGGGGAATGGCTGGAAAGATTATGGGTGTTTCTCAACTTTAAAGTTCTAAGGTTTTTCAGCTTTAAAAGCTCTCATGGGTGCTCTTCGCTGTCCGTGAAATCTGCCGGAAAAAAAAACGCAGCCCCCAAATTAGGTATCCGAAAGACAGGCTCTGCGGGCTCTCTGCTGTGCTACCCCACCTGTCTAACCCCTGCCAAACTGGAGCTGCATGAAATAAAGTGTTTCTGCTTACTCTCACTCCATCTCATCAGGTTTTCCCTGCACTTGAGAGAAGCACAGAATTCTAGTCTAGTCCCTGGACCCTCCTAAGTACTGAAACTTGATACTTCCCTCCCACTAGAGAACCCCAGTACTGAAACTTAGATGCTGAAATCCAGTGTCTTCCTGCCAGTATGAACCCAGTACCTCCCCCACTACTGAAACCACTTGGTCAGAAACCTCAGTCCCAGTCTGAAACCCAGTACCTCAATCTGAGTACTAAAATCTAGCACCTCTAGTAGTACTAAAACTCAATAACTCAGTCCTAGTAGTAAGACCCAGCACCTCAGTCCCAGGACTGAAACCAAGTACCTCCCAGTCTGAAACTCAGTATATTACCCCCAGCATTTAATCCTCCCCTATGCAGGTTGCCTGAGGTCCCCACCACCCACCCACAGGGTGCCAGGCTATCTGTTCTGAGGCTCCCTCCTCTCAAAACTCTGATTTCCCTGAACCCCTTGGTCCCAAGAATATGTGGACCTCCTCTTGGGAGTCCAAGTGGGTTGTAGAATCTGAAGCCACTTTCCCCTTTCACTGCTCCTTTCACAGGAAGTAGAGACCAGAAGCCTGAGAGACAGTTTAGGGGCCAGGGATATATTCTTGCATTGCAAGACTCCAAATTCAACCCCTGGTCTTGCATGCTGCCTGCCATCCCATTGAGCACTTTTTATTTATTTATTTATTTTTGCTTTTTGGGTCACACCCAGAGATGCACAGGGGTCACTCCTAGCTCTGCATTAGGGAATTACTCCTGGAGGTGCTCAGGGGACCATATGGGATGCTGGGAATCGAACCTGGGTCGGCCGTGTGCAAGGAAAATGCCCTACCCGCTGTGCTATCCCTCCAGCCCCCCCCCCTTTGAGCACTTTTGATATAGCCCAGGAGGCCCTTGAGTAAGGTCAGGTGTAGCCCTAGTGCCTCCAAGCATCACTGGGGTGGCCTATGGTGGTCCCCAGCACAACTGGGCCCCAAGCACATCACCGGTCTGGTAAGATCATTTTAACAGTTAACAAATACATGTGAACCTAATGTATTTTAATTTTATCTAGACTGATAAAATTCAATAAATCGCCTCTGGCCTCAGGGGTTATTTGTGAAGGGCTCTTAACTGACACAATTAGTAGGATGATTACTGGAAAGAAAAGAAGGATGAGCTGTAGTGTAAATCAAAGGGAAAAAGCTAGCCCAGAGGCTGTTTCTTCACTGTTCAATGGGGTGGTATTCCCCATCTTGCTTGTGTTAGAGGGGGTTGGAGAGCTAGTCCAGTGGGTAAGGCACTTGGCTTAAGAGAAAGAAAGAAAGAAAGGAAGAAAGGAAGGAAGGAAGGAAGGAAGGAAGGAAGGAAGGAAGGAAGGAAGGAAGAAAGATTCAATAGCTAGAAATGTCTGAAGAACTTAAGGCACTTGGCTTGCATGTAGTAGACCTCCACTGATTAGATCTCCCCCACACCATTTATGGTTCCTTGAGCACCACCAAGAGTAAACCCTGAGCACCAAGCCAGGAGCAAACCTGAACACTGGCAGGGTGTGACCCAACTCTGCCCTAGGAAGACGTGTAAAGTGTAGATTCACAGGAACCGGATAAATAGCAGGTTTTTCTTTAAGGGATGGGGGAAGACCCATACTCAGTGATGCCATGGATCACTTCTGGCAACCTAGGGGGACCATAAGGGGTGCCAGGAATTGAACCCTGGAGCAACATGTGCAGGGAAAATACTATTTGCCTGGCCTCGGTAATTTTCCTTTTTTTTTTTTTCTTTTTGGGTCACACCCGGCGATGCACAGAGGTTACTACTGGCTCTGCACTCAGGAATTACCCCTGGCGGTGCTCAGGGCACCATATGGGATGCTGGGCTCGAACCCAGATCTGCTGTGTGCAAGGCAAACGCCCTACCTGCTGTGCTATTACTCCAGCCCAATTTTCATTTTTAATGAGAGAGAAAAGAGGCCTGAGAATTATGTTTTGAAAGCCTGGACACCAGCTTTCTATATTATTTCTACCTATGATCATTGGATCACCTCATACAATAAAGGCAAGTGTGTTTTCATAGGTAGAGAGAGGATAAAATGCTGCTGTCCGAAATCGAAAACAAATGTTTCAAAATCAGGTGTTGTAACCACCTTAGAAAGCAAGCTGCGAAAATATATAAATACATGAAATAAAATTCCTTTAGGATGGATGTCCGACAACTCTCTTCTATTTGCAAGTACGTTAAAAAATTAAAGCAGGGGCTGGAGCGATAGCACAGCGGGTAGGGTGTTTGCCTTGCACGTGGCCCACCCGGGTTCGATTCCCAGCATCCCATATGGTCCCCTAAGCACCGCCAGGGATACTTCCTGAGTGCAGACCCAGGAGTGAACCCTGTGCATCGCCAGGTGTGACCCAAAAAGAAAAAATAAAATAAAATAAAGCAATCTAGGATTTGGTAAAGGTGACGCATTTATAGACAAAATTCAGGTTTGTCTGGGTTTTTTTTTTTTTCCCCTTGCGAAACGGGTTTCTAATTCCTGGGCAAGCCCTCAAAATAGCTCTTGAAGGCTCCTCGCCCGCCCGCAAGAAAGGTTCTGCGGAATTTATGGAAAGTGGCGTGGAACGTGGCAACAAACATGCGACTCGGGCGAGTTCTCCGCGGGCTCCCAACTCGGGCGGCGTTTCCCCAAGGCCCGTCTGGACCCGACGCGGAGAGCGTTTCCCAAGCATCAGTCCGGGGGCTGGCCCTTCCCGCGTCCGGGCGCCCGACACCCGTGCTGCAGCGTGGACACCCGGAGCAGCGGGGAGGGTTGGGTGGGTGGGACGACCCCCGGCGGCAGCCGGGAGCGGGGAACTACAACTCCCAGCGGGCCTCGGGCCCGAGGCGCTGCGCGCACCCTCGGATTGGCCCCGGGCCGCTGACGCTCCGTGTTTTGGCCCCGACGGTCACGTGTCTCCTTTGTCGCGAGCCGCGGCGAGCGGGGCGCGGAGGCTACGGGCGACGCGGGCGCCGGGGAGCGCGGGGAGCGCGGGGAGCGCCGCCCCGGGCCGCTGCCAGACGCCGCCGAGAGGGAGCCCCGCATGACAGCGCCCGGTGGGGCCGAAAGGCGAGGATCGGCCGGCGCCGAGGGCGGAGGGGCGGCCCGGATCGCCGGCACCGGGGCGGGGGGGGACGCCGAGCCGGCGGCAGCCCAGGCGGGGGGCTCCGTGGGGAGATCGCGGCGGCTGTGGGCCCGCGGCCTTGAGCCGAGGGGGGCGTCCGGGGCTCTCCTAGCCGAGGGGGGCGTCCAGGGCTCTCTCTGCAGCCCCGGTCTCCCAGCCCCCGAGCACTACCGCCCCGGAATCGCGGTGCTGGCCGGCGCGCCCGTCGGGGGGGCGGCCGGGGGCGCGGGGTTGCCGCCGCGGGGGTGGGCGAGCAGGTGTGGGGCCGACGGGACGGGCGATCTGGGCCCCGCTGCATGTGGGCGATGGGCTCGGGACCCCCAGGCGCCGCGCTCCGCTGGCGGGCGGGCAGGAAGCCCCGCGCGGACCTAGGTCCCGCCGGCTCCAGCCTTCTCGCGGCGGGGCTGGGGGCAAGGGAGGGAGGCCCGGCGGGTGCCAGGGGGGGGGTGGGGGTGCCGGGGCCACCGGGCAGAGAAGCCCCGTTAAAGCGATTGCGAAATGTCCCCGACGCTGTCACCTGACCGTTATCCCCGCCTCCACCCCCTGCGAGCCTTTGTTTACCCCGGCGGGCCGCGCCGGGAAGCCGGCCCCGGAGCGAGCGGCCCCGGGGGAGGCGGGGCGGGCAGGCCGGCGGGGAAGCGGGCGTCGCGCCGCCCGAGGCCCCCCGAGCCCCCAAAACCCACCTACCGCCTCCCCACACGGCCGCTAGCTGGGCCTTAATTTAGTTCCCCCCGCGCCCGCCCCCGGGCTCGGGTCCCTCCAGGAAACGCAGCCGGCCCAGCCGGGCCGCTGGCATTGGGCGCCGCCGGCGGCCGTGGGCGGGGCCACGGGGCGAGGCGTGCGCTGATTGGTGACGCCCGGTCGCTGGGCGGCCCGGCCCCCCGCGCCTCTTCCCCGCCCCCTTGAAGGTGAGCTGGAGGACGCGCCGCGGCTGCGGCCCCGGCTGTTTGCACGGGCCCCGCGACCCCTCGGCGACCCCCGCAGCGTTGTCCACCCGAGCCTGGAGGGCACTCGTGGGACGCGCGGGGCGGCAGCTGCGGCCCGCCCTCCTCCCTTGCCCTGGGAAATGAGCCCACGCCCCACCCCCTCGACCGGTGTCGCCTTATCTGCTCAGAGGGTGAGCAGGAAGTCACCCTGCGAATTTGCACTCGCTGGCTCAGTAAACAGTGTTTAAAGGGCTCCGTGTGAGCCGTGGGACCCTATTTCTTAAGGCGTCTCGCGGACACCACTGAGACAGTGGCTGTGTAGCGGATTTTTAAGGATTCATCGCTTGCTCTCGAGGAGTTTTAGAACTCGAAGCTACCTAGAGTGGATTGCTTAGGTGCAGCTGAGGTTGTTTTTTTTTTTTTTTAGGAGATGCTAATGGATTTTAAATCGACCTGTTTTCTAAGATATAGAATTATTATGAGTTTTTTACTTTGGGGGGGGGAAAAGGCTAGTTGAGGCTGTCTAAAAGCTAAAGCTGCTTCTGTGTCGGCTTAAATGACTTGTTTTTTTCCTTTGGGGATCTTGTGTTGTTTGAATGACTTTTTTTCCCCCGTGAGTGAATTGCAGTTAGGTTGTAAGAATATTGTACGTCAGTGATGAAGACAGTAGCAGAATCTGCAGCAGTGATCATTTTCAGCTCGAAAATGCAGATTCCACATTTGCATGAGTTCGCTGTAGGAGTGTGTGTTTTTGAACCCAGGACTTCACATACAAAGCAAGCCCTGGTCTACATCCCCTCACCTCTTAGCCCCAAAGCAAGCCCTGAGCCTCTGATCTACATCCCCCACCCCCTTCAGCCCATTCTCTTTTGCTGTAAATCCATAGGAATTCACCCAACATATTTCTGTAGGAGGTCGACTAAGCTTTCTGCATGAAGCAGAAATTGAGTAAGAACTGTTCTCTTTGGTTATGCGTTCTTAGATCTTTTTAAAATGTCACAGAAGTGACTACCTTAGGAAGCAGTTTCTGCAATCTGGAACTGCCTCATTTATGCATCAGAAGCACTTTAATATGTCCAAATAAGTACAACAGAGACCCCCTAACCTTTTAAAAAATAATTAAATAAAACTGCCAAAGTCTGTTTATCCAAAGTTGGCAACTGCGCCAATAGAAGGAATAAATATTATTCTGAGTTAAGACTGTCAACTTTACAACTTTAATTTAAACTTTCCTGGCTTTTCTCCAACTTGCTAAAATCCTAAATGCTTTTTTAAAAACCTTTAACTGTCTTGTTTTTCTATCATTTCCTTAAAACCAAACCTATGAAAAATGCTATTTATTAAATAAGTGACAAAAGTTTTTTTTTTTGACAAAAGTTTTTTATGTAATTATTTCTTACATAGAAATTTATAACACCTTTTTTTTTTATAAGTGGGGTAGGAGGTGCTGACACCTTCCTGTGCTCAGGGCTTACTCTTAGCTTTGTGCTCAGGGAGAATGCCTGGCGGTGCTCACGGGATGATATACAGTGTGAAGATCGGACCCGTGTCAGCCACCTGCAAGACAAGTGCCTTTCCCACTGTACTATTTCTCTGGCTCTAGAACATCCTTTTTCAATACATTTTTATGTGTGGACAAGAATTTTTAATCTAATAATAATGAAAATGTAAAATATCCTCAGAAGTAGTATACACATGAAAAATACTTCCTGTTCTTATTGGGACTGTAACAAAGAGTATGTGGCCACTTGACAGTTTGATGGCATTTTAAAATCCTTATTCTTGGCCAGTAAGAACTCTTGCCTTGCATATATAAGGCCCTGGGTTTGATACTGATTCTCTCCCAAGATAATCTTTATTCTTTCTCCTATTAATAATCCAGCACTCTAATTTTTGTTAATTGATGAGATTGTCACTCTGCCTCAAGCTATCACTCAAGGGCTATAGTTTTTCAGTGTTTGACACTTTTTAAGAATTATATGCTAAGCTGGTGTTTAAAAGTTAATGTCTCAGGGCCAGAGAGGTATACAGACAGGTAAGGTGCTTGCCATTTCCACGGTTGACTGGGTTTTGTCCCCCAGCATCCCATATGGGCCCCCAAGTACCACAACGAGTGAATCCTGAATGCAAAGCCTGGTGTAACCCTGAGCATTGCCAAGTGTGGTCCCAAAACAAAAAGTAAATAATAACAGTTAATAGACTTCACTTATCAATTTCCAAATGTTTTTTCCGGGACTGGGCTATAACTCAGCAATAGAGCTCATGACTTCTACGTGTCAGCATTGCATTCAATCCCCAGTTCCACACCCCCCCCCCAAATTTTTTTTTTCTGTAAAAAAGATGGGTCACTTCTAAGGTCAATAAAAATGTTTGACTTAGAAGAGTTTTTGTGCAGCAAGAAGTGATCCAGAAATAGGGCCAGAGTACAGTGGGTAAGGCATTTGCCTTGTACACGGCCAACCCAGGTTCATACCCTATATGATCCTCTGAACCAGGAGTGACTCCTAAGCACAGAGCCAAAAGTTAGCACTGAGCAGAGATGGATGTGCCCCCCTCTCCCCCTCACCAAAAAAAGGATGATATCAATTGTCAGTAAGTTCCCATGTCAAGTCTCCTGAGGAGCAGGTCAGTTCACTCAGCTTGATATGAGTGTGATGTCTGGTGATTCATACCTTTTCCTTCCTTTGGAGCTTAAGAAATACTCTTTGTCTAAAGTTTAAGGCAAAGGAAAGAAATGCTAAAATGGATTAAAGCAAGGGAAAGAAATGCTGACTGAAGCCCCTGGTAGGACTTGGGGGACTATATGGGATGCCAGGAATCGGACCCCGGTCGGTCATGTGCAAGGCAAACACCTGACCCACCGTACTGTTGCTCAAAACCCTCTCTGACACACTGTTTAAATACCTCTAAATACTTTGTCAGATATCTCTTGTTTCTCTTTCATTAATGTCATGATGTGTTAATAAACATTTGCAGTTCCGGTAGGCAAGGAATAGTTGCTGTAATTCTATAGATAAATGTAAAGCCATAGTTATAGTAGGTAAATATGTTCTCAGTGGGTCCATTAAGAAATTAGAATTAGTGGAACCAGAATGATCATATAGAAGTTAGGTTGTGTGCCTTTTCCCTTGCAGTACCTGGTATCTCGAGCATGGCTGGGGTGCAAATCTGGAGGCCCCTGGACTACTGTGCCAGGGTAACCCTGGTTGTCCCTAAGCAACACCACATCCTCAGACCTTGCATTCACCTGCCAGCCACCTGGCTGGCTCAGAATCACCACAAGTTCCCTCCCCCCCACCCCCCACCCCTGCCTCGTGAACACTGCTTGAGAGCCCCCACCCATAGGAATGTTGGAAATAGCAGCTTAAGACTTAATCAGGAGGTTCAAACTTAGGAAACGGGGTCAGGAACAACTGTTCTTAAGAGTAAAGCTTACTTAAATTGAATTTCTATGTTTTGAGGTGGAAAAAATTTTACTAGGGCTAGGGAAATAGTGTGGTGGTAAGGCGCTTACCCTGCACAGCAGCCTTGATTGACGCCACTCCAGTCCTGAGCACTGCGTATGGTCCCTGAGCAATACCAGGAGTGATCCCTGAGCACAACGCCAGAAGGAAGCTCCAAGTACTGCTGGGTGTGGCCAAGGAAACAGATTAAAGTTTATTAAAGTGGTCACCCACAGGAGAGAGGTATGAATGGATCTTTACTCAGAACATTAACAAATTGCTGTTTATTATAACTGTATAATTTTAAAGTGATTGAGTAGTTTCATTCAGTCAGTAGCTTTTGAGACAATAGGGTGAAAATATCTGCCACAAAACCTAATTGGCTTCATTAACTACTTCGTTAAATATTTTCTAGTTTTTTTAATAAAGGATATACTGTGTTACAGTTTTTCCACTTTCCTTCAGAGTTACTATGTATCTTTAAAGAGTAACCAGTTCTTGGTTTCCCTGGTTTCACTGTATCGGAGTTATCCCCGTTGTTTATCGATTTCCTCCAGCAGGCATTCCTCCTAGCTC